CAGGAGGGGAAGACCCTCTATGAGGTGGATTGATTTAGTGACTGGGGTAATCAGGATGGGTGTGTCAGAGGCAATGAGATTGGCACAGGATAGAGCAGGGTTTAGGGCTGTTGTACATAGGGTCGCTATGAGTCGAAACGACTTGACGGCACATAACAACAACAACAACAACAACATCACTGGCATCCACTTCCGAAACAGCTTGCCTCCGGAAACCCTATGAACCTTGAGGAAGGATGAAAATTATAACAAGTGCCCAGGTCTTTCGTCCATAGGGTCACTATGAGTTGCCTACCACATGACAGCACTTAACAACAATATCACTGTGCCTTTTATTCCCAGCATACTCCCCATCCCTTTAACTCATAATTTTTTTTTTAGGCAATGCTGCTTATTTTCCCCTTATAATTTACAATCTGAAATTCTTTATTCCTCACTTGGAAAAAAACCACACCACACAAACCACTAAAAACTTTCTGTAGTGATCTGAGTGAAAACTTATAGAACAGATTGGTTTTCCATTCAACTATTTCTATACATTTAAATCACAGTCTTCATTTCTTAGACTCACTCCTAACTTGTTACAGGAAATGTCTGTCTGTTGTGTTCACGGATGTATCCTTTGTGCCTAGCACATAGTATGTGCTCAATAAATACTTAATACATATTGCAAAAACTCCAACTCCAAATATAGGATTAATAAGAATTTGTTATTTATTCAGCATGTTAACACAGTAACAACAAAATAATGTTTACCATGTCACAGTCCATTTTTTTAAAGTTATAAAAATGTACAGATGAAACAATAGTCATGATATATATCATGTTACTCAAAATTGAAAATAGTTATTTATGTTTTAAACAAACTTATATTGATGAATTTTTATCAGCAAAACCATTTTAAATATCTAAAAATAGCCTTTCTTAATAATGCATGAAATACTACTGAAAGGATCAACTTTATTGCACATTATTTGCTTTGAGTTTATTAGGTGTCCTGCAGAAAAAGAAATTATGAGTAGAAATTTAAGAAAAGTAGGCAGAATAGTGTTGGTACTACAAAAGACGATCAGGGTTGATATATTTCAGAGTAATCTTCAGGAAATTTTATTCTGCTAATATATAAAAAACTCACTGATTAAAATAATCACACATGTAAGCTAAATGCTATTAAATACAGTACTCTGAAACACCTCTTTTGGCACATTTAAAATAAAAGGAAGGATAGTAACAACTCTTTCAACTAATACCAACTATCACCACCACAGGGGCTCTGGTGGTAGAACGCATACAGGGAATTGAGCTAACTCAAAAGATAGTGCCTTTCTGCTGGTTTGAATCCACCAGCAGTTCCATGGAAGATGGGTAATATCCTGTGCAATTCACACCTTCTGGAAACCTACTGGAGAGTCAGCTATGAGCTGGTTTTAACTCTGCAGCAATGAGTTACATTTTGATCACTCTCCCTGGTCATCCAAGAAAGATGGTCTGCACTTCACTCACTTTATAGAGCATTAAATGGCAACATTTTAAGTACAGATATATATTTAGTTGGGACAAAAATATTCACATAACTAGAACAAATAAAAATTCATTTTCAAATATAGGGAACTGGGATTAGACATACCCTATGAACTAGCTTCTAAAGAGGCTAGAGAAATGTGTGTTTTACTTTTTAAATCCGAGTCAAACACTATAAGTGGTAGTTGCGTTGAAGATCTGTAAACATTTTCATTTATTGTACTGTTTCCTGAGGTCACTGGAAAAAATACTATTATTATAGCAGTCTCATAGTTTAATATCTCTTTAAATATGCTTTGGAAATATTAAAAGAAATTATTTTTAAAGCACATATTCATTAGTAATCTAATACACTTTTCCTATTACAAAAGCTATTGTTAGAGAATTCTTAGGTATCAAAATCAAATTTACTCTCCATTTCCAGAGACTGGAGAAAAGCATTCATAAACTCTAGGTCATAAAATAAATAAATAAAAGATTCAAAATTAACTTATGTAACACTAGAGAAATAAAAAGTATCTTATATTCATGTAATTTCTAGAATAATATCAAAAGCCTATCTATATAGGTCTTCCCATTTTTATGACATGCTAACACAGTGCCTGACCCATGGCTGATGTTCAGTCAGTATATACAGAAAGATGTCAAGTTCAATATAAAAACCACAGCAATACAACTATAAACTTGAAATATTTCAAATCACTCAATTAAAATCTAGGTAACTTTAGTTGGTATTTAGAGGAAAGTTCAAAAAATCTACATAATAAACGCATATCTCTGGTATGCTATATAGCATCCCACCAATGAAAAGAGAAATTTTTCTTGATTTTTGTTCTTTAAGGGGTACTAATCACTTAGAATCTTGGATTTCAACTCTATAAGGGACTAGCCAAGAAGCAACAGAGAAGGCTCTTGTTTCTTGTATCATATTATTTCTCCCCCTTACTTTTCTAAGAATCAGGAAGCAGATAACTATCCAGTGTAAAATATATGCCTCAGAACAGTATCTTTTCTAGGAGAAAAATCAGGTAAACCAATATTTACATTCTAGAAGTTAAAAAAAAAAAACAAGAGCAAATGTCTTTACCAAGATGGCTGACAATAAAGAGATTTAACTAGTTTTTTTAAAAAACTATTAACTGGTACTGAATCTTTAATGTTAATGACAAAGAGAAAACACATGATTACTTTTACAGGGCACAACCTAACTATGCATTAATATAGCTGTTAAAGATATATTTGTCCTTATTTCACTGTTGAAGTGAAGAAAAATACCACTGTTAGAATGTCAATATCTTTAAAACAGAAAAGGCAGCACTGGTTATCTACAGCTATGATTCTTACATTCCCAAGAGAAGAATGAGTTGAATTGGGCACTACCCAGTACTCACCTGTATTATCATTCATTAGTACAAATGATCATGATTTTTAAAGAATGCAGTTTAAGTGTTTTGATTCAATAATGTGAAATAGAAGTACCTATTCTTTTTTTTAAATTTAAGCATAACAGTATTTTGCAAGCCAATTTTTGACAGCTTAGGAATTTGCATTCTAAGAAGAAACTATAATTTTCACTAATATTTATTTTAAAAGAGAATTTAAAATGCTAATTGTTTCATTTAAATATAAGCTAAATTCACTTAAACTTCCTAATGATGCGTGCTGTAGACAAAAAGTGATCTTAAAACCTCAAAATCATATTTGCTGAAATATAGAACTAGAAAATATATTTCTCTGTTTAAGTATAAGAACAATAGTGCTCTCTATCATTCATAAGTAAAATTTGTTAATGATATTTCAAAGAAACTATATGGTCCCACATGGGTAAACAACATTTTATTTCTCAATATTGCATGTTATAATTATCTGTAATTATAGTTCGATTTTGATTAATAACTTGCAACTTGTTTAACTCTATCATGAGTAAGCTGGTTGCAAGTGGTATGCTGATGAAATATTTCAGCACTTTCTAGTTCTCATTAATGAAAAAGTTTGGGTACCAATAAGCAATCAATCAGTAAACTGATGATAAACTCTTAATACTGTAATTATGGTAGTGCCTTTTTATGTGGCTGAGTCATGCAAAATATTACAAGGTAACCATTTCATATTAGGCATTACTTGATGTAATTATGTGTTATGGCAGTGCTCCTCAAACAAGTGAACATAAATACCCCTGTTATCCTTCAGGTGACTTAAATGGTATATGAATGAATATTTTTTAAGTTATATACCTGTTTTAATATTTATATGCAAACTACTATTAACACATAAAATATGGAATATGATTGCTCAAGACACAGCTAAGATTTTAAAACGTGGGGCTAAGAAGTTTAGGTTAAAAATAATGTTTTGTTACATACTTTTTTAATGCTTTTATTGCTGTAGGAAGAATAGGGCCATCATAATGGAGAAGGGCTCAGCAATCCCATGATATCCTGGGAGAGAGGGAGGGGTTTTAGCATAGATCTAATGACTTCGATGCCATCTGACCATCTGGATCCCAACAGTGGGCTACTTCCTTCTTTGTATGTGGCTTTCTGCATGTCTTTTTCAAATGTAGGGTCTTCCCCTTCACTTTCAACTGTGGGGTGCTCTATTCCTTCTCAGTGTGGGGCCCTTTTGTTTTTCACATAGGAGATTCATTGTCTTTTGGTAGGTGATGCCACATTCCTTTAGTAATTTGTTCACTTTGTTCAATTTTGTAAAATGGCTCATTGCTTCATTCAAAATCAGTGTACCATATGGTCTGTAAACTTGTCTTGCTGTTTCTAATACTGACTTTCTTTAAAAGTAGTCCCCGCTAAGTTCTTGTACTTTTCTAAGGTTAGCTTGGTTGCTCCTTGTGCTTTATTTATTATTCTCTTCAGAAACTTAAATTGGTGACTCAAGATGCAGTCACTTGAGACTCGTCTCTGCCTTCATGGCTGTGGCTTCTAAAGTCATCAACAGAACCACTGCCAAAATCTGGAGCCACAGTTGGAGCCCCTTGGTGCGGCAGAAGAGTGCTCTGGATCAGAGGGCTGTTACATATATTTTTATAGCAAAAAAAAGTAACAGCAAAAATTTAAGACAAGCAGAGAATGTAAGTGTTTAAGTGTACATATACAGGAGGTAGTATGCAATACATAGTTGGGAAACACTATATTTTAAGAGATGATTTGATTTAACCAGTAACATTTATTTATCCTTTTAACAGTGAGTCATTAAGGAATTGCCTGTACTAATATAAACTCTGGTTTTATTCTAGGACACATTTTGAAAAAAGCCATTTGTTTAAATAATATAAAGTTGAAAATACTGAGTAGCTTTAAAAGAGTTTACCAAAATGGTGAGTAAGTTTTGGAACATTTGAGAAACATGCTTTTTCTACAGAAGGGAGACAGCTACAAAGGCACATTACATATTATATTGTCATCCTTGCAGTATTTAAATAAAAACAATTTGTATAGTCGTTATTATTGATTATATGCAGATCATTACAATACTCTTTCATAAAAAAGAAGGTATGCTTGTGCACTAAGTGCTCTTGATTCTGGAACCATCTGCACATAAGTGTCGCTAACATGAACCCACTGTTCTGTTGATTCACTCCCAGATTCAGTCAAACCTAATGAAACAAAAAAAAGTAAAATGTTCACATTCTGAATTATCAATGACACATTCACCACAAACATATTTACCAAAGCTAACTCACTGCAAAAGTCTGCTTCTTCCAAAGTGAACTGTGTTAAAGCATTAATATTAGAGATAATTATTAGTTGGTACCAATTATTATCAAGTTATCTTAAATATATATATATATATTGTTTACCATCGAGTCAGAACTGACCCATAGCTAAATCTCTGGTGGGTTTTCAGAGGCAGTAATCACTTCTGGTAACATCCTTCTCCTACTGGTAGAATGGAACCACGTGCTTTTGGGATCGTAGTGCAGGTTACTACCACTGGGCCACCAGAGCTCCCTAGATATTTAATGTCTAAATAGGGAGTTCTGGTGGCCTAGTGGTAAAAAGCTGTTCTGCAATCCCAAAGGCACACAGTCTGAATTTATCAGCTATTCCATGGGAGAAGAATGGGCATTCATCTCCCATGGGATTAACTGTCTCTAAAAACTTGCTAACAGGTCAGAGATGAGTCAGTTCCAACTTGATGGTACAACAACAATGAAATATAAGTAGAACTGCAACAATTCTTTGATCCTGAAAAATAATCACTAACATTGGAAGAAAAAACAATTAATGTTAGCAGAACCATAATTAAAATCTGCAAATTTTCCACATCAACTCTGATAAGCTAGTGTATCTTCAAAAATTTTTAGTATAATTAAATCCAATTTCACTACAATACATGACTGAGACTCTTGAAAAACTGCATGTCATTTCATATTATCTAGAAGGATACAGTCTAATGATATTTAAGATTATCTGAGCTCTGGTGGCCTAGTGGTAAGGGGCTGCTCAGTCAACCAAAAGGCAGGCTGTTCTAATCTACCAGCAGCTCTTTGGGAGAAAGATAGGCAATCTCCTCTTGTGAAATTTACCAGCCTCTGAAAATCTGCTGGAAGGTCAACTATGAGACAGTTCTGACTCAACAGTACAAAATAATGACAAAGATTATCTAGATATGCTCAGGAATAATAATCCTCATTTAATATAAAGTGAATTCAATTGAAGTATCAATGAAATAACGTATTTCTTATGAAAATAAAGAATACACCTAAAAAAAGAACAGAAAATTATTTATTTATTTTAACGTGTCAAAATAAATGGAGAATAGCATACCTGATACATTTTTCTTTCCAGTAATATGTTCCAGTAAGTTCTTTGAGGGTGTTCTCACTTTCACATAAGCTGTGTAGTGGCCTCCTCTCATCGAGCCACTATGTTCCACTACTCCATAGAGACCATAGAGAACTTTATCTCCTAGACTCACATTCTTTTAAACAAAAAAAAAACAACCCCAAATTAGTGCTAGTTCATGGAATATTATTCGAATAAAAATAAGCCAAGTATATGTCCTGCATATAATAAGAGAAATATAAATATACTAAAACTACAGTAAGATACTTTTCTACCAGTTTTTCACAAAACGGTAAAACTTGACAATACTTCTGTTTTCTGTGGAGAAAAGTGTATTACTATGCACAGTGCAGGGGAGAATAAAACTTGGAAAACTCCTTTTAAAAATTTTTATTATTATTATTTAGCTCAGTTAAATATATTGTTATGTACTGTCAAGATGGAACCAACCCATAGCTGAACCTCTGGTGGGTTTTCAGAGGCAGTTAATCAAATGGAAGGAGACTGCCCATCCTCCCACGGCGCAGCTGGTAGCCTGAAACAATGTGCCTTTGGGATTGCAGCACTGATTCTTACCACTGTGCCACAGTTAAAGAAAAACTCTCACATTCATCAATTGTATTTTTAGTATTCTTACATAGGTATACATAGTGCTGATTGCATAGTCCATAACTGAATTATTGAGTTAGAGACCACATCTGTCTGGTGGTCTGAATCCTTCAGAAGTTATGAGAGAGAAAGATAAGCAATCTCCTCCAGTACTATTTAGAGCATCAGAAACCCAATAGAGAGTCAGCTATGAATCTGGTTTTTTGGTTGTTTGTTTTTTCTAATTTAGGTTGTTTATTTTTCATTTCAATGAACATCTACAGAGATTTTGGGATTCCATTCATTCATTGTTGCACCCTTTATGAATCTGTTTTGACTGAACAGCAATGAGTTGTTGTTGTTGTTATTATACGGGTATAACAAAATGTAAATAGACATGTACCAGACTATTAAATCCTTGTTTACTGCTGCATTATTCACAACAGCAAAGAGATGGGAGCAACCCATGTGCCCATCAATAAATGACTGGATAGAAAAACTATGGTACATCCACACAATGGAATACTACACAGCACTGAAAACAGTGAAATAATAAAACATTACACAACATGTGGGAGCTTTGAGGACATTATGCTAAGTGAAATATCTCAGGCACAAAAGGATAAATACTGCATAACAATGCTATTATAAAATATGACAGACATGGGAGTTTGGGGAGGGAATGGAGAAAGAGTGAACAGATAATGAACACTGAATTAAATTAGATGAGAAAAGGAATATATGATTGATTATGCATTATATGTATGAGAACAATCTGGACCAAGGGGTGCACTGTGGGAGTCAGTAGGGAAGAAGAAAATTTGCAACAATAAATAAATTTTAAAAAGTTGACAACTCATAGTTACCATAAGAACAACAGATCTGAACCTTGCCCTAGCCTGTACCATCCTCACAATCTGAGCCATGCTCAAGCCCACTGGTGTCACTGTGTCAGCTGCAAATCTATCTCCATGAGGGTCTTCCTTTCATTCTCTGACCCTCTATCTTCCCTAGCATGATGTCTTTCTCCAACGTACTATACCCTCCTGACAACATGCCCCAAGTGTGTAACACAAAGTTTAACTATCCTTGCCTCTAATGAGCACTCTCGTGGCACTTCCTCCAAGACAAATTTGTTTGTTCTTTTGGCACTCTTGGTATTGAATATACTCTTCTCCAACACAATGCAAAGGCATCAATTCTTTTTCAATCTTCCTTACTTATTGTTTATCAGATGCACAGGAAGCAACTGAAAAGACCATGACTTAAAATTAGGCCCACTTAGTCTTTAAACTGGCATCCATGCTTTTGAGAACTCTGGGGAAGTTTCCCCAAATGCAATACGTCTTTTGACTTTTTACTGCTGTCCCCATGGCTGTTGATTGTGGATATAAATAAGATTAAATTAGTAACAATTTCAATCTCTTCTCCATCTGCCATGATGTTGCCTATTAGCCCAGTGGTAAGTTTTGTTTTCTTGATGTTGAGATGTAATCTATATTGAAGGTTGTACTCCTTGATCTTTTGGAGCCAGTGTTTCAAATCCTCTCACTTTGAGGCAGCAAAGTTACATGATCTGCATAATGCAGGTTATTGATGAGTCTTCCTTCAATCCTGATGCCATATTCTTCACATAGTCTAAATTCCTGAATCATCTTCTCAGCATGAAGAAGTATGGAGAAAGGATACAATCCTGATACACATTTTTTTCCTGAACCTCCACCTTTTCTAACAGCATTTTGATGGAGGTATAGGTTTCAGGTGAAGACAGGTGTTCTGGGATTTTCATTCTTCTGTGTTGGCCAAAATTTTTATGAGCCACACAGTCAAATGCCTTTGCATAACCAATAAAACACAAGTAAATATCTTTCTGGGATTCTCAGCTTGCAGCCAAAATCCATCTCACATCAGCAATGATATCCCTTGTTCCACACTCTTCTCAATCAGCCTGATGTCCTGGAAGTTCCCTGTTGATGAACTGTTCCAGCTGTTTGCGTTTTTTCTCTCTACAGCTGTGTTGTTTTTTTCCTAATTAATTTCAATGAACATTTACAGAGATTTTGGATTTCCATTCATTCATTGTTGCACTTTTCTCACCGCCTTCTCCCCCCCCCGTTTGCTCTTCTCCTTGAAAAGCAGAAGAAAAAACTCCTTCATTGGTATACAATCCCCTTGCAACACGCCCCCAGAGTATACTCCACTCTGCAACCCTCATTCCGAACTCTTATGATAATCATAATGCCTTAAAATAAATTATTTTTAAACTGTTCTCTCCCTCATCGGCTTCAATGCAGTACACAGAATTTATCCAGTTTTTCTCAGTCTTACCCCCACCTTGACGTCAGCCTCATTCTACAACAGTGGCACCATACAGTATTTGTCCTTTTGTGACAGATATTTCACTCAGCATACTGTCCCCCAGGGTCACCCATTTTGAGTAATATTGCATGAGTTCCTTGTTTTTCAATGCAGCGTAGTATTCCATTGTCTACAGCTGTTTTTAAACAATGTACAGAATTTACTTACATGAGATATAAATGTTACTGGTCAATATTTTCCATACTCTATTGTATCACTTCTGGAATGGGAACAAATATGGATCTCTTTCAGTCAGTTAGTCAGGTAGTTATCTTCCAAATTTAGTGGCACAGGCTAGTGAGCATGTCCAAGGCTGCATCTGTTTACTGAAATACCCCAAGTGGCATCCCACCAATTCTAGAATTTAATTTTTTCCCAATGCCTTCAGTGCAGCTTGCACTTCTTTCTTCAATACTATTGGTTCTCTATTATATGCTCTGTGTGTGTGTGTGTGTGTGTGTCTGTACCATCAAATCAGATCTGACTGGTACAGGAGGAGATTGTCCCTCTTTCTCCAGCAGAGCATCTGGTGGATTTGAACCAAATACCTCTGATATTGCAGTGCAGCTTCTTTCCACCAGGCCACCAGAGCTCCCCGCTACTTTCTGACATGGTTCAATATTGACCAATTATTTTCAGTATAGCTAAGTTGCGCCTGATACAGGCCATGGTCTTTGCGATCACTTGCTATGCAAGAAATGACTCAGGAGGACAGAAGGAGAACTGATGCCCTGGAGCTGTGGTGCTGGAATACTGAATATATCATGGACTAAGAAAACGAACAGGTTCGTCCTAGAGAGAATTAAACCAGGCCGCTCCTTCAAGGCAAGGATTCTGAAGCTGTGTCTGACATACTTTGGACATGTTGCAAGGAGGGACCAGTCCTTGGAGAAAGACGTCATGCTTGGGAGGGTGGAGGGACAGCACAGGAGAGGAAGACCTTTTATGAGGTGGACTGAATCAGTGACTGGGGTAATCTGGTTTAGGGCTGTTGTATATAGGGTCACTATGAGTCACAGGTGACTCAACGGCACATAACAACAACTACTCTGCATTCCAGCCACCTTCTCCTGATGTTTCCTACATCATTCAATATTTTGCTCATAGAATCCTTCAGTATTGCAACTCTAGGTATGAATTTGTTGTTCTGTTCTTCCAGGTTGAGAACACCCAAAAGTGTTCCTCCCTTTTGGTTTTCTCTTGCTTATTTTGTCTTCTCAAGCTGCCTTTGACATTTTCTTTTCAGCTTTCTTACTTCAGCATTCTTTCTCCTTGTTTTGGTTTCTGTTCATTCCAATGCAAGATTTAGAGTCTCTTCTGACAATAATTTTTGTCTTCTTTTTCCTTGTCTTTGTGTTCCTGTCTTAAACCTCAACCTTTAGGTTTCTTCAGGGATAAATCCTTGATGTCAACCCAATCTCATCTGGTCCTTCGGTCACTAGTGTTCAATGCATCAAACCTATTCCTGAGATGGTTTTAAAATTCAGTTGAAGTAGACTCTAGGTTGTATTTTGGTTATAATGGACTTGTTTCAATTTTCTTCACTTTCAATTTTAATTTACATGTGAGTAGTGGATGGTTTGTTCCAGTCAGCCCCTGGCCTTGTTTTGACTGCCGATACTGAACTCTCCATCTATTTTATCCACAGATGAAGTTAATCTGATTTCTGTGTATTTCATCAGGTGAGGTCCATGTGTATGTGCATTTGTTTTTTAAAAAGGTGTGTGCAATGAATAATCATTGACTGTACAAAATACAATCATTTGTTCTCCAACCACATTTCTGTGACCTAGTTTGTATTTTCCAATTACCAGTCCTTCTTTGTTTCCAACATTTACAATCCAGTCACTACTTATTATTAGTGGATCTTGGTTGTGAGCTCAATCAATTGCAGAACTGAAAAAGTTGGCTGAAGTCCTCAGTGTGGTCAACTGTGTGGTGGTGGTTGGTGCATATATTTGAATAAAGGTTGTTTTAACAGGTCTTCTTTGTATGTATTGATTGTATCCCATCACTCACAGCAGTGTATTTCAGGCTTCATCTACATGTTTTTGCTTTGAGTTCAATGCCATTCTTTCTCAATTTGCCATTCCTAGCCTAATAGATCATACATGATTGTCTGATTCAAAATGGCCAATACCAGTACATCTCAGCTCACTGATACCTAGGATGTCAATCTTTTTAAGTTCCATTTCATTTCTGACAACTTCTAGTTTTCATAGATTAATATTTCACACAATTTCAGGTTCCAATTAATTATTAATGGAGGTCTGCAGGTGTTTTGCCTCATTTTGAGTCCTGCCACATTAACAAATGAAGGTCTTTCACAAGGTGAAAGTTCTACCCCATTTGTGCCACTATGGTCACTATTCTGAGGAGGCAGCTTCTTCCCAGTCACATTTTGAGTGCCTTACAACCCAAAAGGCTCCAGCACTATATCTAACATTGTTGTTTCTTTACTCATGGATTTTCAAAGGCCTCTATTTCAGAAGTGAATGGTCAGTCCTGCTTCTTAGCCTGGAACCTCTGTTGAAACTTGTCCATCATAGGTATGATGGTTATGCTGGTATTTGAAATGCCAGTGGCATAGTTTTCAGCATAAGCGCAACATGCAAGACATCACAGTATAGCAAACTGTCAGATGAGTGGATGTGTGATCCTTTAAATCTGGAACTGAACTCACTCCATGGTTAACATTCAGCCAAACAATAGATAGAACAATAGGGTGAACAATAACATTAGAGGGGTACATACTCATTAGAACAATCAATTATACCAGACTGAAAGGGCATCCTTTGTCCAGGGATAAAGCTAAGGTGACAAGAAGGGATATAAAGGATGAAGGGAAAAGACAAATATAAAGAAAAAGCAGGAAAAATGTTGTTACACTGTAGGTTTTACAACAAATGACACAAAACAAAAAGGTGCATGAATTGTTGAATGGAACATCAATTTGCTCTTTAAATTTTTGTCCAAATAATTTTTTTTAAAAGCACCCAGTCATAATGTATGGACCTTATCTGCCTAAGCCATTGGGGGGGGGGGGGGAAGGACATATGAAAGAAGACTAAATGATATGATGGAATTATTTTTAATATGTTTGGTACCATAAACTCAAAAAACAATTTATTGCAATTGAGTCTGAACCAACTCATAGCTGACCCTCCAGTGGGTTTATGGGCACCACACCTGTGGGTCAGGTGACTGTGCCACCAGAGCCCCTTAGGCGTTTTATTTTTTTTTTAAAAAAGTGAAGATTCATATTTCTTCCTCGTCATTAAAATATTAGCAATTTTAAAGGATACTCAGCTGATAATTACACTGCTCAGTAGTACACATGAAAAAGCGCACGCACGCGCGCGCACACACACACACACACACACACACACACACAGACTAGTATGTTGAAGTGAGAACTCCAAAATGCTGAAACCACTGGTGATTAAGATCATCGTTTACAAGGAAAACCTTGGGCACAAAATATATTCAGTTCTCTCAGAAACAACCTGCTTCCAGAATCATTTACAGGAAGCTTTGATATTGAAGACCACGCTCCCTTAAGCATCTTTCTTTCTCCTATTTTGTCTCCCAAAGGGCAAAAGTCAAAGTGAATGTGTTATATACACACTGTTTCTGATTTAATTTCACTAATTATAAAATTCCTTTTGAGAGGAAACACTTTAAAAAAAATCTAAAAGAATAGCCTAATAATTGGTACATAATATATATGTTCATTATTTGAAATCAATTCATTATCTTGATAATATACTGTACCTTACAAGTAGCAGAACAGAAAGGTGCTAAATCAAGCATGAGCGGGAAGTCTACATGTCTGTTCACTTTTCGAAGACTCAAACCAGCCTTAAAAAGACCAAAAAACATTATGCAAGTTAGCTCACAAAGAATGTTAACCACTGCACCGCAAGCACGCCTAAGGGAGACCTGTAAAGGTCTTAATATAAGATGAAGCATTTTTTTAGAGAAGTATTTTTTTAAAATATGTTTGGAGAAGGCCTTCTATGAGGTGGATTGATTCAGTGACTGGGATAATAGGGATGGGAATGTCAGAGACAGTGAGACTGGCACAGGACAGAGCAGAGTATAGGGCTGTTGTACATAGGGTCGCTATGAGTCGCAAGTGACTGGACGGCACATAACAACGACAACAACAACCTTATATTTGGGCCTTCTTTTTTCTTGTCTTTCATATGAATGATATATTCTCAAAATTTTCCAAAGAGAAATAATCCCAGAAGTTAGTATAGTCACAGATATAAAAATGTGACTAGTCCATACTGAAAAATGACTCAAAAATTAAGTTTCATGGTTACCACAAAGATTATTTAAAATGGTATTTTATAGTGATTAATATGAGAATATTTAGAGAAATAAAAATTCAGTGTGATAAAAGGTAATCTACAGACATATGTCATCATGAAAATATCAGACTAAAGACTCAGAAGCCTCAGTTCTTGGGTAGCTGTGTTATTCTAGAGAATAAACTGGAGAATTTAATTCAGCATAGGCAATCTCATCTAGGTCAGTCCAAGCACAAGTTGGTGAGTTCTTCTCAGTTCTAAAACTCAATGATAGCCATTCATTATGAATATTGAATATATTGAATATTCAAGAAAAACAACCTTGAATATTCAAAATGTTTCATTAATTTAATGTTGTGTATTACACAAAATAAAATGAATATTCAGTTATAAATAAATACCATCTTTTTCTGTTTTTTTAATTTCCAAAGGTAGACCTAAAAAATGCAGTATGAATTATGTACTATTAATAAAAGCTAATTGATACTCTGGGTTTAGTGCTGGTTTGTAATGAAATGGCTAAGCATATCCAGAAAGTCAGAATTGTTGGTAAATGTGGAACCCATTATAATGCATCTCTCGGGCAAATAGTTTTATTGTTCACTAAAACACATACACACTACAATCTTCAAGTAGTGTGAATAATTTTAAGTAGGAAAGTTTTCTAAAAATGGCAAGAAAATTAGGAAAACCCACATGCACATTTTTAAATTCTAACTAGTGACTGCTGATTACTTGACAATATCACACAGGGCTCAGAATTCTGAAGAACACAAAGCAAAGCTGACCACAAAGACTTTTACCTGATGGAATCTTTTAAGATGGAGAATCAGAATAGCTGGAACAGCAGAAATGAGCAGTTGCTTCCTGGCATTAGTATAAACCCCTTCTGCTTTCTTTTCTGCATAAAATATAGTAAATTGATTTGTAAAGTTCCATTTTTATATATCATCTATGATATGTTATAATAAATACTTATATACAGACATCTCATGATATTTTAAAAAGAAATTTGACTTATGGTTGTAAGGTGCCCCTACTCCTTTTTGAAAATAAAAAGAGGGAAAGGTTTTTTAAAAACAGGCACATATTTATAAAGAAAAAGAGCAGAAGAGGTGATATTTGCAAGAGTTTTGGAAGTTGGAAAGCTGACAGATTAGTATTAATTTATATCAACGTCTTTTAGCCTGCAATATATCTGAAGTTGAATAAGTTGAATTAATTGTTTGTTACAATGAAGGGCTAACAAAAACCATTAGGAAACATGAGTTGTCTCAGTAAACACGGGTTGTTAGAAAGGATTTTTTAAAGGATTTGAAAAAAAACAGTGGCATATTTACCTTAAATTACCATAAACTGACATTTTCTTATCTAGACATTTCTTTAATGAAAACTCCAACCTGAAATTATCAAAGTGATTCTACTCATGGTGACCAAATGCATTACAGAGTAGAAGTGCACTCCACTGGGATTTCTTGGCTGCATTTTTTTTATGGAAGTAAGTCACGAGGCATTTCTTCTATTGTGCTGTTGAGTGGGTCTGACCCAATCTTTTCATTAGTAACAAAGTGCAAACTGTGCCAAGGATCTGTTTCTCTAATTACTAGTATTCTCTCCATCAAGGATAGAGCGGAACTGGAAATTTACTTGCCGATTCCTCCTTTTCTCTGTTTGATAGCTGTTTTACTCCTAACTTCATATCATACAATTATTTGAAATATTCAGATTTATGATTTATGTCATGAATTTACAATAGATTGACAGGATTTATGAAGCACATTAATTCAATTAGTGATACAATTATAAATTTTATCTGGAAATTTTAAGGGAAATTACCTCTGGATAGATTGCATCTTAATCCTCTGAAACAAGATTTATATCTTCAAAGCAGAGAAGAATGTCTATCTTCAAAGAAGAGAAAAATTTCTCTACTCAATTTATTTCAACAAAAAAATCTACTCAGATGGTATCTTAAAAGCTGAGAAATATCTATAAATAAAATTGTTCCTGGTCTCAAAAGTCTTTGTTTAGAGACAGGTCCTGAGACTCTACTGTTCTGGAATCTATAACCCTTTAATTACTATCTGATAATCAAGCAAAATTAAAACAATAATAATAAGCTAAATATTTACCTGCAGAGTTGGTTTCCTTTTCATGTTTCTGTTTCTTTTCAGTACAATTCTCACAAAGAAGTTTATTATTCCCCATTAGTAATTCCATAGATGTAAACTGGTAGAGACAGGACTGAACTGAACATTCTCTAGAAGAAGTTACGTAGCTCTGAGAGAGGGTCTGAAAAGCATTTTGGGGGCTGTGAGACATATGCTTCTCTGAAAAACAGAATTTATTTGGAATATTTAGTGGTTGATTATCTCTGTCAAGGTCTCCCACGCCAGTTACAGTGCTGCTCAAATGGAGTTTAGAAACAGCATCAGCCATTCCCTCGTCACCACTGCCAGTTTCCTTGATGGAGTGCGATTCACTTGCTGTTTGTACACAGGGCACATTGCTGGATCTAAACAACACAGTGTGCTTTGAAGCACTTTCAGATTCTGAGGCCTCACTATCAGCATCAATGCTACTTTCAGAATGGCTAGCTTCTTTTTCACTTCCGTCGGTAAGGTTTTCATTTAGAGTTGACTCCATATTCACGACGCTTGCGAAAGACACTGAGGCATTCCCATTTATATCAACGTTTTCATTTTTCGGGTATATGACAACAGTTTTCGCTTCTCCAGATGACAATTTTCTTATATGCTTTCGGTCATGAATTTGTTGATTCTGAAAGTTGATAGTGTTTTCAGAGAAAAGAACCTTGTGACCTTATTGAAAATAAATTCCAATTAAGTCTCATTTAGACTTTCCACAAGCATTATATAAATGTTATTCCTACTACTCCTTAAATCTATCTACTAAACCTACCTAAAGAATATGAATTTAAAAGTAAACCTTTATATAAGCAACTAACAACAGTGGTCATTTACCTGCAGGGACAAAAACAAGACTTTCTGAAACCAGGGAGTCTTTTCAAATATAAACCTTTCCAAACTGTTGATTTTTGAAACTTTTTTACAGATTAAGAGTACTAACAAAAGTAAATAATACATTATGACACATTATCATTGCTACAAATGTGGAAGAAAGCATTTTATTTGTATCTGGTCTTTAGTTTGCCTATTAACTGGATCGACCTCCACAGAGGGAAGATGGACAATCTCTTCCCATGCAATTTACTGCCTGTGAAAACTCACTGGAGAGTCAGCTGAGTCAGTTCCAACTTGATGACACATAAGAAGTAGAATGGACATGTTTCTTGTGATAAGCGATTAGGGTGATTAACAACTTCATCTTTGTTGTAAGTATCAACTAAATTAATCAAAGATTTTGTTATTTGAACTATTTCAAAGGTTGCACAGGGCTAAAGTCTTTTGCATTTTATTTTTTTCTTTACTATGGCTTATTTTTAGGGTAAAAAAAAAACCCACAAACAAAACAAACAAACAACAAAGGAAAGATGTCATGCATTACATACAGTCCAGATACTAATTTTCAGAAGGGTTATAAAAAGTACTATAAAAAGCGTCTGTGCCTCAAATTTTTCATCTTCATTGCTAGGTTAATAACACTGGGATCTCGTGTTCAAGTATTCTGAACTCCTTGAACAAAAGCAAGATATTCATTCTCATCATATCTATTTTGCCTACTGTAACATCAGAAGATAAACAGATGAAGTTTATGGTAAAATACTATAAATTCTATTATTCTGAACATATAAAGTAACCTTTATATAGACTACTATTATATTTTCTATAGACTGCTATTAACAATAACAATATTGTCAGTGAGAAAATACAAACCAATACAGGTTTTTAGTGACTTTCTAAAAATATTTAATTAAGGAAAATAGTTATGTCTGAAATCTAATTCATCTAGCTTCTAATTCAGTGGTTGCTAAACTCAAGTAACCATCAAAATCACCTAAGGGCGTTTTCTTAAAAAATATACAAACCCTAAAAATAGATCTCAAAAATACAGATATAAAATGTCTATACAAAGAAAACTAAAAACACTACAACAAGTCAAACAAGACTTAAAAAAAAGGAAGAGCATACCATACAAATGGATCAGAAGACTTAATACTGTGAAAATGTTAATACTACCAAAAGCTATCTATAGATAGTAGAAAGTTTTACATTTCCTAACCTCAAAACCTACCTCACAGCCCCAGTAATCACAATGATGAGGTACTGGTAAAGGGACAGACATAGAGCAAGAGAACAAAATAGAGAAGCCAGAAATAAAGCCACCCATCCATCTGTGACAGCTGATCCTTGATAGAGAGATGAAATCCATCATGTGTGAGGAAAAGACAACCTCTTTAATAAACATCTAACATCTATTTGCAGACTAATGAAACAAGATCCATAGCTCACAAAATATACAGCATTAACTTAAATAAATCAAGGACTTAGGTGTAAAATAAAACAAAGAAAAAAACTGGGCAAACTTAGGAACCCTAGTAAATGGCATAAAAACTTGTATACCTCAACATCAAGAGAAAAACCAACAAGTACATTTACAGAATTGGCAGAGGGCATGAAAGCACAGTTCACCAAAGAAAGACATTCAAATGGCAAAGAAACTCATTTAAGAAACCTCGAGATCACTAGTTACTAGAGATGGAAATAAAAACAGCAATGAGGACTTATCTCACCCAGGCAACAATAGTAAAGTTGAATAAGACAGCAAACAACAAATGCTGGTGAGCATGTTGCATTTGGAACGGTCATATACTGCTGTTGGGAATGTAAAATAGTACAGCCACTATGAAAATAGTTTGGTGTTTCTTTAGAAATTTGATCTAGCAACTTTACTACTAGGCATATACCTAAAGAAATAAAGGTTGCACTACAAATAAAAGAGCACCTCTATTTACTGCAGCATCATTTATAATAGCAAGGATTTGGAAACACCATTAATGGACTAATGGTTAAAGAAACTGTTGTACATTTATAGAATGAAATTATCACACATCACTGAAAAATTATAAGGAATTCCTAAAACACTGCAACATAGATGACTCTTGTTAAGTGACATCTGTGTTGTTAAGTGACTCTAGATAACAAATAATGCAGAGTGACATAAAGCAGTCACAAAAGGACAATTATGGTTCTAAAAATACTATTCTAAAAGTCAAAAGAAAGGTTTACTTAATCATTCTTGGGTAGATAACAGGGATGAGAAAGACAGGAGAGAGGGATAAGAGTTAATAAAGAGATAAATTGGGTGAAGAGAAAGGCAATATACAATAAAGGGTGAATCAGACATTGTCAATTAATCAACTGTAATTATTGTTATAAAACAAAATAGTATGATTTGTAAATTTTCACTTAAGGAAATATGAAAGAAAAAATATAGACTTAAGGCATCACCGTTCAGAAATACTGATTCAGGAGATCTGGAGTTGGATTTGAGAATCTGTGTTAATAAACTGTGTCATTTAATAAGCAACTTCTAGGAACTCATCAGCTGGATTACTTTATCAATCCCATTTCATTTCCTATTCCTAATGAAATAGAAAAGTGCTCATTTCTGGGGAGTTCTGGTGGCCTAGTGGAAAGAAGCTGCACTGTAATCCCAGATTTATGTGGTTCAAATCTACCAGATACTCTGCTGGAGAAGGAGGGGCAAGCTTCTCCTGTACCAGTTAGATCCAATTTGATGGTACACACTCAAAAAATAATAAAAAAAAAAATTTTTTTTTAAAGTGCTCATTTCCATTCTCATTTTGTGCTTGGTGTGTTTATAACAGATTTATTTATTGAAAATATTCTCGTTAAGTTTCTAAAATTAAAGTCAAAACAATGGTTTAATAAGTTTATTCTGAGAAGTTACTTGAATTTTTTTTTCCATGTCAGATGGGTAGTGTGCCTATGTTGTAACAAGGTTGAAAGGGTGGCACATGTCATACAGAAGTATGAACACCCAATCATCATGCTTATGAACCGGAAAAGGATCTTGAAATTTTATGAAACAAGCTTTGCAATCACAGAATTAAGACAAGGGTGGAGGTTAAGCACATGATTCTGGACCCACACGGCCTGGTTCAAATTCAGACTGAATGCCACTTTGGAAACTGCTTCACAAGGAAAAAGAACTATCAAATATTACATTATTGGCAGAAGTGTACAGCACTACTTAAATAAGTAAAACTGAACCTAATTAGACTTCTAGCTCTAGCTACTTTTAAAGAGGAAACAAGGGTTAAAGGAACCCAATACCAATATTGAGATACAACATAAATTACTACACAACAAGCAAATGTGGAAAATTTGTAGATTAAAAGATTAAAGACACAGCAATCAATTGTAATCCATATGCCATTTTTCAGACCCCAAATTCAAATAAACTTTAAAAAGCAAAACCAGAAAACAGTAACTGCAGTTATAATAACAACTGTAAATGTAAATGATTATTTTAATAAAAGGTACCATTAAGAAGTTGTTTATAAAAAAAAGTTGTTTATGTTTTAGGTATGCTAACTGCAGTATGTTTATACTTATTAAGAGGATTTCTCTTTTAGAGATAAACTTTAAAGTGTATATTTGAGATTTGTTTCAAATAATCTATTTTGAGGGAAGGAGAGAAAGTGGAATACAAGAAGCCACAAACTGGTAATTATAAAACTCTGTAATGGACACATGGGAGTTTGCAATACAATTTTCTCTGTTTTGGTTCATGTTTGAAATTTTCCTTAACAAAGAGTATTTTTAAAAAGATGTCTAACTTATCTTACCTTATCTTTAAATGCAGAATGTTTCTTAGTGGCTTTGGGTTGATGAGTATTTTCTGCAGTGACAGTGCCACTGTATTGACCAGGCTCTGTTTCCTGTGAGTTTCTGTATTTACTCGTTCTTCCCAACAGTACAGGTTTTGAAACCTATGGAAATGTCACATATGTAAGACAGAACAGTTATTGCAAATCATATTCTACTACTATTCAAATGTTCCAATTCAAATTCCAATTAAAAGAAAAAAAAAATAATTTCTTGGGGTGAAGGGATTAGGAAAGATTCAGTGGGGACCTGAAAAGATGGGGTAATACTGGACACAGATCAATTTTGATTACTTTTATAAAACAAAATATACTGAAATGATTGGATAAAACACAATGCAAATGAAAGAATGTGTGAAACACAATGCATATAAACACAATGTATATGAACTTTTTATACAAACCTATATAAAATAAAAATTATTAAAAAAAGACTAATAGAAAATTTCAAAGGATAGCTTGTGAAGACACAGTAAATTATTACCATGAAATGTGTAAAGACCTTGAGTTGGAAATTCAAAAGGAAATAATATGGTTGTCATTTCTCAAGGTAAAAGAAATGAAGAGGAAAGAGCGTATGCTTCCACCCTTCACTAAGGTGTTACTTTACCTTATCTTATTCCTGTTGCTTCTTTATGGTTAAAATTCATTTAATAAAATTATTTGATCATTTAAAAAATAGAAACAGATAATTTCTTTAATATTAACTCTCAAAATATAAAACAGTGTAAAGCTTTCTTTAAAAGAAAACTATTTTTACACATACACAACTTGCAATATCACTAGAAATTCAATTATATTAAAAATCATGATGTTAAACTACATGATAGTCAACAAATAAATGTTCTTTACAAAAGCTTCATTATTAGTTTTCGTTCTCTCCTTACCCTTTCTTCTATTATAGGAAGTGAAATGTCAATGAAAGGATCTTTCATGGTAGAGATCTTAAAGAAAAGCAGAAGGAGCACAGTCATTAAAATTCTAATATAGACAACATGGTTTTTTGTAAATTCTTAAAAAAAAAATCTATCTGAGCCAATCGGATCTGATTCAATCGTACACAAAAAGAATTCACCTTCTCAGAAAATTTATAATTGGAAGTTTAAAAATACTCCTGAAACAATTAATGACTGGAAACCCTAAGTCTCTGTAAACTTTCATTAAAATTAATTTAAAAAAACTCCAAAAACTCCTGAAACAATAGTTATTTAATTTGGCTTCACAGCACATACTGTTAATAAAGACAAGTTATTTCAAAACATCAATGAATACAACTTAGTTTAATTTCACAGTATTTGTCAATATGATTCTTTTATTTAGTTCAACTACTGAATTAATGACAGTAACATTTGTCAGGTTCTGTTGAGTCAACTCTAACTCACAGCAGAGATCCCATATACAACAGAACAAAAGCTGCTTTATCTTGTGCAATCTTCACAATCTCTGTGCTTAAGTCAACTGATGCAATCACTGCATCAATCAAATTCAACTACAGTCTTCAACTGTTTTACTGATCCTCCACTTTTCCAAGTATGATGTCCTTCCCCAGGACTGCCCCTCCTGATAACATGCCCAAGTATTTGAGACAAAGTGTCACAATCCTTGCTTCTAAGGAGCACTCTGCTTCACTTTATCTTTTTTATTACCATTGACATTAGTTTTTTTAATCTTTATCAAACAATAATACTTACTTTCAAGTTTCTAGGTGTCTTTTTCCCCCCTTTTTATTGTGATTTTAATCAAAGTTTACAGAAAAGTTGGATTTTCATTCATTATTACACATTTTCCTCCCTACCCTTTCCCCAGTTTTTAATTTTTAAAAAATCATTCATTGTTATATAATTTTCTCCCCTCCCTCCTCCACTCTGCTTTGCACCTCTTATTCTGGACTGCTGTCATACAGATCATGCTTAATCATATATTCCTTTTTAAACAGTTCTTTTTGTCATCTGTTACAACACAGTGTTCATTATTTACCCCTTCTTTTCTCAGTTTCTCCCCAACCCCCATGTCAGTACTATTTTAGAACAATGGTGCTATTCAGTATTTTGTCTTTTTGTGACTGAGGTATTTCACTCAGCATAATGTCTTCCAGGGTCACCCATGATGTGTAATATTTTATTAGTTATAGTGCTGCATAGTACTCCATTATGTGGCTATACCATAGTTTTTCTATCCATTTGTTGATGGGCACTTGGGTTGCTTGCATCTCTTTATTATTGTGAATAAGGCATCAATAAACATGGGTGTGTGCACATCTGTTTGGGTGGCAGCTCTGGTTTCTTTAGGATATATTCCTAATAGTGGAATTATTCTATTTCCAACTTTCTGAGAAAGCACCAGAGACCTGTGCCTGTACCACTTTACATTCCCACCAGCAGTGACTAAGAGTTTCAATGTCTCCACAACCTCACCCAGCTCACAACCAGGAGAGAATAAAAGAGGTGAGTGGGACCTTCTAAGAATCAAATCCCTATGCATATCAAAAACTTCTCCAACAGGGTAAGAAGGAAACCCACATACTGGGGGAAAAAATCTGGGGAAGACATATCTGATAAGGGATTAATATCTAAAATTTATAGAATACTTCAGAACCTGAACAAGAAAAATATAAACAATCCAATCACAAAGTGGGCACAAGATATGAAAAGGCACTTCACTGAAGAGGACATTCAGATGGCAGACAGATGAAGAAATGTCCAAAATCCCTAGCTACTCTAGAGATGCAAATCAAAACCTCTATGAGACACCATCTTACCCCAGCAACAATAACAAAGTTCAACAGGGCAGCAAATGACTTCACTTTCTCGAAGTCAGATTTGTTTGTTCTTTTGGCAGTCCATGGTATATTCATTAATCTTCACCAATGTTGCTGTTGTTGTTACATGCTGTCTAGTCACCTGCGACTCATAAGGACTCCATGTACAACAGCTCTGAAGCCTGCCTTGTCCCAAATCAGTCTCACTGACTCTGACATATCTACTACCATTGCCCCAGTTACTGTATCAATCTATCTCATTCGGGGTCTTCCTCTCTTGCACTGTCCCCCCCACCATTTCACGCATGTTCTTCTCCAAGGACTATTCCCTCCTGGCCAGGTTTTCTTGGTGGTCCATGGTATGTTCAAGACTCTTTTCTCCAGCACCATAACTCAAAGGCATCAATTCTTCTTTTGCCATCTTTAGTTACTGTCAAGCTGTCTGATGCATAGCAAGTAACTGCATAGACTATAGTCTGGATTAGGCACACCTTAGTCACTAGACTGACCGCGTTGCTTCTCAGTACTCTGAAGAGGTCCCTGACAGCAGATTTTCCCAGTCCAATTAGTCTTTTGATTTCCTAACTGCCAGTGCCAAGAATGATGATTGTGGAGCCAAGCAAACTGTAATTCTTAACAACCTCAATCTCTTCTCCATCTATCATGGTGCAGCCAATTGGCCTAGTGGTGAGAATCTTAGTCTTCTTGACGTTGAACTTCAATCCACATTGAAGACTGCAGTCCATAACCTTCTGCAGCAAGCAGCAATTCAAAGGCATGAATTCTTCTTTGGTTTTCCTTGTTTTTTGTACAACTTTCACATGCACATGTTGTTGTTATTATTTGCTCTTGAGTTAGAACCAACTCATAGCTGACTCTCTAGTGGGGTTTTCAAAGTCTGTAGATTACACAGGTGGAGAATGCCCATTTTCAAACAGAGTAGATGGTAGACTCAAAGTATGTGTCCCTAGATCACTATGTATATTTTGTTGTAGTTGTTAGGTGCCACTGAGTCAAATATAACTTATAGTGTTTCTATGAACAACAGATAAGAATCCTGTCCTATATTGTGCCGTCTTCATCATCTCCAACATTCCTGTACCCATTGCTACAGTTACTGTGTCAATCCATGTCATCAAAGGTCTTCCTTTCGCTGACTCTCCACCTTTCCAAACACAATGTCCTCTCCAAGGAACAGCCTCTTCTAGCAACATGCCCAAAGTATGCTTGTCAACTTTGCCTCCAAAGAGCATTCTAGCCGAACTTTCTCCAAGACCTGTTTGTTCTTTTGGCATTCTATGAGATATTCAGTACTCTTAACCAACACCATAACTAAGAGTCATCAATTCTGTGTCATCCTTATTCACCGTCCAGCTCTCAAATGCACAGCAAGTGACTGAAAAGACCAGGACTGAATCACATGTACCCTGGTCTTCAAACTGACAACACTATTCCTCAGTAACTCGAAGAGGTCTCTTGGCAGCAGACTTGACTAAGGTAACATGTCTCCTGATCTCCTGGTACCAAGAGTGTTGTTACCAAGAGTGCTGTTGTGCATCCAAGTAAGATGAAATTGTTGACAACTTATCAGTGAGAATTTTGTTTGCTTGATGTTGAGATGCAATACATACTGAAGGCTGTAGTCTTTGATTTCTAGTAGCAAACAAGTTTTTAAGTCCTCCTCACATTCAGTAAGCAAGGTTGTATCATCTGCATAATATAGGCTGTTTAATAAGTCTTTCTCTGATCCTGATCCCACATGCAAAGAACTAGAGCTGGAGAAGACAATCATACGAAGCAACTAAAAATACTACAGCTTATTTCAGGAGCGTATAAGCCTTTATTGTTGATATCCTTGCTCTTTAGCACTTTAAAGAGGCCGTGGTAGATTTGCAAAGTTCAATACATACATATTTTTTTTAGCTTATAAATGTGTTTATTAAAATAAAGGACTAAATAATTATCATTTTCCAATGTGAGCACTTCAGAGAGTTAAATCATGGAATCACAAATACTTTTGGGGGTCAAAAAAGAGAATCTGTTGCTTCATATTTATTTTGTGTTACTTCTCTTCTTCTTTCCTTCCTAATATTTGGATTTAAATGGAAGAATATAATTGAGGCTTTCTGTCTAACTTGTTTAGAGAAGGCCAATCTTGGGCTTACCCATTGATGAACTAAGGACCCATCAGTCAGACTCAGTGAATTGTAATTTATTGCTTTTTGGATCTAAGTTGCAATGGAGCCTGTTAAGTATCAGACACCCCAGTGACTCTGACCAAGGCTCAAAAAAGCCTAAAAATGAAGATAAAAACTGGCAATTCAACATATATAAATTACAGATTTGGCAAATTGGGAGAGTTCAACCTTATGATTAAAAAAATTTCAATCTTGGCTGTTATTATATGCTTTGGCGCAAGAGTATAAATGCCATGCAAATCAACTCATTAAAAAGAAATTAGTACACCTATTAATAAAAGAAGTAATACTTTTCAATTGGTGAATTGCCAAGATGGGGAAATTCTAATATAAATGAGATGCCTGTTTATCAGGACAAAATTTCTCAGAACTTCAGAAATAAAAAATTAAATATTGCAAACTATTTCCGTGCTTTGAGTGGAAAAAAACAATTGTTGTTGCTGATCATTCAATTTCTTGACTGCTACTTCCACAGATGTTGACTGTAGATCCATGTAAAAGAAAATCATTTGACAGCTTCAATCTTTTCTCCATTAAACACTTTTTTTGAAAATTAATAATAGAAATAAGAAATGTCAAGAGAAAGCTTTGAGAAAAAAAGCAGAAAGCCTGATTGTTTTGTAGATTCCCTGAGATAATTCTGTTTGAAAAGGAATGTATTGTGAGGAAGCAATCACCTTCGACACTGAATATACTCGAATTTAAATACTAGAATGTTGACTAATTTTGTGTTTCAATGTGATAGGCCAGCAGAAGATATTTATAATCCTGCTTTTATAAAACTAAAAAGGATGAAAAAGTACTCCTTAATCTGTACACAGTAAAGGATATAAATACTTTCTTTTATAGTAAAAATACAATAAAAGTTTAATTTTATCACACTCTAAACCATGAACATTTCAGAAATACTCATTATCAAGCAAACCAAAATTCTATAAAAATTTAAATATGCTTTAAGTTTTTGTTAAAATACAGATGTCCTTAAAAAGAAAAATTGTTTAATCTTGAGTTTGGGGATCAAAAAAATTTAAATAATATCACTAAATTAAGAAAATAACAGCAACCTTCAAGTCTCATAAACTTTACATGAAGTAATATAGACACATCCAAATATATATTACAACAAAAGTTACTTCTATTAGAATGGCTTCTTAGGGTACTGCAATGTAAAGTAATTCCTCTCTTCACAAAAGTTTCTCAATTTAACCCAACACACTTGAACTAATTAAGACAGGATGGCTTAAAAATATTTGATCTATAAACTTTCATTAAAATCTCAATTAAAAAAACAACAAATAATATGTGAGTACAGGAAAATAGGCTAAAATGCATCTCACAAGTTAGTAGATTACTTCAACTATAGATCACATTTATTTCTATGAATGAATTTTAAAAAAGATTCAAGAACTAGCATCTAGTTAAGTATCACAAATTAAAAAAATTAAACCTCTCTGTACTATATTTTATGTTGAAGTGAATTCCTAAGTACCTACATTTGCACATTCTTCACACATGACCGTGCTGGTTAATTCACCAATAAATATCTGATCTATGAAGTTCATTTTCACACCTTCTTTTCCATATGCTGAAAAAAAGAATACGTTTTAATGTATAAAACATGTCAAACAGCAATAAACATGGCATTTTCTGCTTATTTAAAAGTAATATGAGTAAGCCAAAAGTAATTTTGTAAAGTAACCCATTAAATAATGTATTTTATTATGCGCTTAGTTTTTTTCCTTTATCCCTTTTTAGAATAAATATGACTATCAACTTTGGGCATGTGGCCAGGGGAGACCAGTTATTGGAGAAGGACATCATGCTCGGAAACGTGGAGGGACAATGCAGTAAAGAAAGAGCCGGGTGAGATAGATTGATACAGTAAGTGGGCCATGGGAGTTAGAGTGTAAGAATTAGAGAGACTGGCTCAGGACAGGGCAGGCGGTTGCTAGGGTCACAGGCAACTTAAAGGCACAAAACAACAACAACCAGCTAGAAGAGTCTAAAAGAAATAATGATGTGATCTTAAAATTAAAGGAGTAAAATAAACAGAGCAACAACCATTATTCATGCCAAATTTCAACTACTCCTATTAAACTTTTGCAGCCCTGTGTCTAACCTACATGATGATGGAAGAAAGGAAAAAATTATATATAGTTTCAGGGTCACAGATGTCCAAGACCACAGCTATAATGATAACAAATGACAAGAAACAGTATATAAATATTTATGGAGTTAGCGAGGGAAATGAGTAACACTTTTATAAATTGTTATTAATATAAATACTTATTTAGAAATGGCATAGTAAATTAGGTTACTTCAATAAGAAAAACTGTATAAGGGACTGAAAGTAGACCTGGTAAAGAAAAATTAAACTCTAAATTTACACTAGATGGCACCATTTTAACACAAAAGAAGGAGGGATAGTAGTTTTAAAAAATCTTGAGACTGTAACTAATAGTTTTGGCATGTACAATCACAATGTTTATTTGTTTATACAATTGTACACATGTAGTTGGAACATTGTAAAGTACAAAAATATAAAAGACAATAATAAAATACAATCTAAAAATATTTTTTAAAATGTCACCTAAAAATAACATACCATCTATAATAACTACGGCTAATGTCTCAAGTATCTATAATATTTATTATATGCTTTTTTCCCTTTACCCTTTTTATAGAAAAAATATGACTATCAACTATAGCTGTCTAAAAGAAATAACGAAGGGAGCCTTAGTGGCCTAGTGACAAGAAGCTGTACTGCAATCCTGAAGGCATACAGTGCGAATCCACCAGATGCTCCCCTGGAGGAGGGGAAGTCCCCTCCTGTACCATCCGGATCGGATTTGACGGTACACAAGAACATCAATAAAAATTAAAAAAAAAGAAATAACGAAGTGTTCTTCAAGCAATAACTGTTAATATATTTAATATCTCAAGACAGGGCATAATCATCTTGCTCTTGTATGCCGTTGAGTCGGCGCAGACCCAATGCTGAGCCCTCAGAGGAAGTTAATCACATGAGAGGAGACTGGGAGCTATTTCTTCTCCATCAAAGTAGCTGGTGGACTTGGGACTTTGGGATTGTTGTGCAGCTTCTTACTACTAAGCCACCAGAGTTCCATAAATTGTTATGAATAAAAGATTTAAAGCACACTTCAATTTTTATATTTACAAATGATCAGCTTTGAAGAGACTGTTTTTGAGGTGTTAAGGCTTTTTAAAATAATCATTGTTTTTCCGCATAATTTGGCTGATGAAAAGCTAGCACACTGAGTAAGCACTTGTGCTTTACTTCTTAAGAGTTTTCATGAATAAATCATCATAATATCCATAGTCTCACTTACCCAAGTAGATACTAACACCAAAATAATAAAAATAATGAAAGTTAATTTTTTTTAATTTAACTTTTTTGTTTGTGTGTATACCATGAAATTGGATCTGACTGGTACAGGAATTGTCCCTTCTTCTCTAGCAGAAGATCTGGTGGATTCAAACCGCTTATCTCTGGGAATGCAGTGCAGCTTCTTTCCACTAGGCCACCAGAGCTCCCAAGAGTTAATTTCTAAGCAAGGCTTATTTCAACCTCATTGGGCCTGGTTCTTTCACGTTTCCCTTAGGAGGTCATACATAAGGACATTAGTATTATTAATCTTTATATTCAATATTAGTTTCACTTATAAAAATTCATAAGGACTCACCCGAACATGTTCTATGTCCTACTAGAGAACCCTGCAGCCACTGGAATAAATGGCACTTTGGAGAATTAGTTCAAACAATGCTCTCTTTTTATTTTCAAACAAAGAACTCAGTATTTTCTTCTTTAACAGGGCCAACATACCTTTGACTTTTTTTCTCGTTTCTTCATCAGCAGTTTTAGTAGTGGGGTTGTTAAATGCTTTTAGAATACTGGCTTGTATTCTCTGCAAAATGAAGCCAGTACAATTATAAAATATTCCATACAAGAATATATTTCTCAGTGAAATACTTTGCATTCATTTTAATAGAATCTGGCCTAATAACAGCATTTTAACTTGGGTTTTATCTGTTTAATAATAAAAAATAAATTCAAACAGCAAGGTGCAACATGAATCTCAGTTCCTATTCTTTTAAATAGCTGGAATGGGGGGAATCCCAAATATTTTCCTCACAGAGAACTTTCTGACTCAAATTTATTTTCCAATAATAAAACCTTATTTGATGTTTTTGTTAAGTGTTTTTAAGTCAAGCATGACACATCGTGTCGAACTTATGAACAGGATCTCAACCCTGTTCTATTCTGTGCCATTCTCACACTTCCTGACACCTAAGGGCCGATTGAAGGAGTCACCATATCAATCCACCTGGCCAAGGGCCTTCCTCTCCTTTGCTGACCCTCTGCCGTTTCAAGGATCATGTCCCTCTCCAAGGAATGGCATCTCCTAGCAACATGTTCCAAGATTGTGAGGCGAAGCCTCATCATTGCCTCCAAAAGAAAAAAAAAGCACAATTTTGACTCTTCAACAAATGGTGCTAGCAAAACTGGGATGATTACGTATTATTTGCAGGACAACAATCAAGAATAAGAGCTGCATAGCAAAGTGAATTGGGATGGGGTGGGAGAGGAAATTGTGCAACAAAAATTCTTTTTTCTTTTAAAGAGAAAAGCAAACTAAGAGCAGGGGTAGGGAGGAAAACGTACAATAATGAATGAATGGAAATCCGAGTGCTCTGTAAACTTTTGTTAAAATCTCAATTTAAAGTGTAAAAAAAACACAAAAGTGTAAATAAATTTATAAAAACTGGGGGGGGAAAAAACCAAACAAGCCAAAACACCAAAACAAAGAGCACTCAGGCTGCACCCTCTCCAAGGCATATCTGTTCATTCTCTTGGCCATATATGGGATGTCCAGTGCTCTTCTCTAACACCACAGCTCAAAGGTGTCAATTCTTTTCTGTCATCCATATTCACTGTCCAGCTCTTGGATGCATAGTTAATTATCAGAAAGACCACGGCCTGGGTCAGAATCACCTTAAGTTTTCAAACTGACATCACTATTCCTCAATCACTACTCTAATTTCATTTATATAATCACCTGTGGGTAGAAAGTCTCTTGTGTAGGCCAACAGGATCTGGTGGGAAGGCCTTTCTATTTAAGTCAGTTGGGTCCTGCCTGACGGTGAGCCTCCAGCTTGGCAGTTAGATCCTGGAGGGTGTTTATTTACTTGAAAGATGGGTGTAATCTGTTTGGGTGTCTATGATTAGGTTAGCAATCAAGTGTAAGCTGATTAACTGTTTCCAAAAACTTATTTAGGTTAATAAATCATCTTTTGTACTAGTTGTGGTCAATTAGTGAACTCATTTGTTGTTGTTATGTGCCATAAACTCATAGCAACTCTATGTACAACAGCTCTGAATCCTGCTCTATCTTGAGCCAACCTCATTGTCTCTGACACACCTACCTCCATTACCCTAGTCAATAAGTCAATCCATCTTATCCAGGGTCTTTCTTTCCTCTGCTGTCCCTCCACTCTTCCAAGCATGATGACCCTCTCCAAGGACTGGTCCCTCCTTGCAACATGCCCAAAGTATATCAGACAAAGCTTCAGAATCCTTGCCTCCAAGGAGCAGCATGGTTTCACCCTCTCCAGAAAGAACTTCTTTGTTCTCCTACCAGTCCATGGTACAGTCAATATTCTTCTCCAGCACAACTCAAAGGCATCAATTCTCCTTCAGACAGCCTTAGTCATTGGCCAGCTTTCTGATGCATAACAAATAAATGTGAAGACTATGGCCTGGATCAGGCACACCTTAGTCTCCAGAATGACACTGTTGCTCTTCAGGACTCTGGAGAGGTCCCTAACAGCAGGTTTTTCCAATGCAATTCGTCTTTTGATTTCCTAGCTGCTGGTTTCAAGAATGTTGATCGTGGAGCCAAGCAAACGGAATCTGTTAACAATCTCAATCTCTTCACCATCTAACATGATGTTGCCAGTTGGCCCAATGGTGAGAATCTTTGTTTTCTTGATGTTGAGCTTCAATCCACATTGAAGGCTGTTGTCCTTGACCTTCTACAGCAAATGTCTCAGGTCCTCCCCAGTTTTGGCAAGGTTGTGTCATATGCATAATGCAGGTTTTCTCTTATTCATATTGTACAAGTGAGATTGTTGTTGTTGTTATGTGACGTCGAGTTGCTTGCAACTCATAGCGACCCTATGTACATACAACAGCTCTAAACTCTGCTCTGTCCTGTGCCAATCTCATTGTCTCCAACACACTCATCCCAATTGCCCCAGTCACCGAATCAATCCATCTCCCAGAGGGCCTTCCCCTCCTGTGCCTGCTCCCAAGAATGATGCCCCTCTCCAAGGACCGGTCCCTCCTTAAAACATGACCAAAGTATGTCAGACGAAGTCTCAGAATCCTTGCCTCCAAGGAGCAGCCCAGAGTAAGATTAAGAAGGCATTTTACCCCAAAGGTGAGTGGTTCGAATCCACCTGATACTCTGCTGGTGCAGGAGGGACAATCTCCTTCTTGTACCTGTCAGATCCAATTTGACAGTACACACAAAAATAAAATAATTAAAAAAAAGGAATGCATTTTTTAACCTATCCTTCAAAAGGTACTAGTTTCAGTAAATATAAAATCAGGTGTACTGATTAAAAATAAGCAACTGTTTTGTATTGTACTGGAAAGACTGTGTCTTCAATCAGGTTTACTTTAACTTGCTATCATACTCTTCAGAACTTTGCAAAGATCCCTGACAGCAGATTTTTCCCAATGCTATCCCTTTCTTTTATAATATTCATTGTATTATTGCACTAGTCAATACATTTGGGGAGGAAAAGAAATCTCATAAGTACAAAATTGTAAATGAGATAAAAATTTACTTGCCAATTATAATCACTGTTTACCTGAAAAATCTGAACTAATGAAAACAAGAAACTACTATAGATTACAAGAGGACTTCTGATAACAATCTATTTCTTGCTTAATTTCTTAAAAGTGGAATTATCTCTGTAAATGTAAAAATAGTCATTATGAAAAATGAAAGAAAAGGATGAAATGATTTGAGGGGAACAAATGGATTCTTAGGCACTGATAAAATCTGTTTTTTTCAACTTGAAGATGGTAAAGAATGTTAGTAGGAAATTTTTTATTAAGCTTTAAACTGTTCTTATATCTATATGATGATAGCTTGACAATAAATAAATGTCAATAGTTGTGAATAGGGAGCTCTGATGGTATAGAAAGTAGAGATGTGCACTGCTAACCCAAAGGTGGTGCCCGCTTTAAAGATTCAAATCAGTGTAGCTACTCCAAGGAAGAAAGATGGGCAGTCTCCTGCCATTAAATCTATAGCCTCGGAAAATCCGATAGAAGGTCAGCTATGAGTTGGTTCCAATGAGTCTGAATAATTGTGAAAACAAGTTTTGTTTATTAACTAGTCTCTAAATGGCACATTCTATTTCCTAGAATGGCTCTCTATATTCACGTGTATTCTGAGAGTTATTAGTACAAGATTCAAAATACTAAATAATTTACAAAGTAGAGTATAACTGTAAACACAAAACTATTCTTAGCATACCAAAGTCTCCTGGAATACATTCATACGTTAAGGAAAACAAAACTATCAAAAATGGAAATGATATCCAATTTAGAGTCCATAAATTTAAAACAATACAATGCAGATTATTTCCTAAAGATGATTTTTATACATGGGGGTGGGGGAGAACTCACTGAACTATATAAAATAAGTAGATCAGAATGGTGGCAATTCCATATAAGTGAATATATTCCACCTTTAAATATTTAATGTAGTATAAGTAGCCTCTCTATCAACTAAAAGGACTGTTAACTCAATGTGGAAGTCTCTACATTTATTCTATAATTTTAACTTTTTACTAATTCAGACATGACTTTCAACATCATTTAATGGGCCTTTAGCATATCATGAAATGTAAGCTGTGACATTATATAAGGTAACAGGGTTTAAAAAAACCAATGAAACTGTTTGAATTATTAATGTTTAAACTATTAGATTCTTGCAGCTTTACTTTATCTTACCAAAAAATTTTTTAAAACCCTAACCTGTTAAAAGAGTCAATAAACAAGTAATTCCTCAAGTTAAAGAACAGAACCGAGTTTATTCCATATAGTCTTCATTGTTAAGAACTGTGCTATGACTGATCTATTTTGGTTGCAAAACTTAAAAAAAAAAAAATAGACAAGATATGGGTCATGCATGAGTTCCTGAAAGTTTTGCACATTAATCAGTCAACAGTATTAAGGTTCAACTACTTCCATTCTCTACAGTAATCCTACTTCTAAACTATTAAGTGTAAATAATGTATACTTTGTTAGCTGATATACTATCTATAAATTAATGTGATTTATTTTTTAAAAATATAATAAATCAGTCTCATTAAAGTAATAAGTCTAAAGGAAATTAGAAGGAAAAAATAAAAGCATACATTTGGTAACTAAAAGATTTCTTATAAAATAACTTTTACATTTGATCTTGTGCACACAAAAATTCACAATTTTCTGTATAAATTACTTTTTGCACTGTATTCAGCAAAAAGTATATTCTTCAGGTTTATTTTCATAGGAAAAGAGCCGTAATAAAACAAAATAAAAGGTCAGTAATTTTTAACCATTATTAAAAGATTCTGGTGGCAGACATTATCCTTTTCTTCAATCAAAAAACACATGGCAGTGCCACGCTATAACAACAGCACGATTAACAGCTGTGGAGTTCCCAGGCCAGACAAAGCAGCTCAATGGGCACTCACTGTAACTGGCCGCGCCATGACTATCTTTGCTTACAAGACTGAATAGATCTACAGACTTGACATCTTAATTTTGTCACACCATCATCTAAAGCTCCCAGAGAAAAGAAGACAAGAGCTATCAAAGCCAATGTTTCCTACTCCACTGTCTTATTTATTAAGGTACTGTGCATCCTAATGCACCATTATGACTAAAAGAGTAATTAAATTGCAACAAAGACTGCCAGTAAGTGGCAAGAAGTGAGGTAGGAAAATAATGATAGGAATAGATTTTATTTTATTTTTAACATCAATAAAGGAAAACAAAGCAGAAAGATACTGTTTAATTCCAGTTATAAAACCAGAACACCACAGTAAACATAATTCTGTAATTCATAATAAAAAAAAATCCCACAACATTGTAGCCTCCTTCAGATCTTACTGTAATTACGTAGACCTAAGATTATTATATGGCATATACTATTTGTAACACAAAGTCAACAAAAATCTTACTTCACCTTACCACTTAGTAGCCATCTTCTGTAACAATAATATGCCATAGTATAGTTAACTTCAGAAGGCAGTGAATATACCAAAAGAAGAACCACTTAGAAAAAGAGGGTAGGTATGAGTTCATAAATAGAAGAATGAGTGTACAATTTTACTAAATTAGAATTTCATAATCAATGTCACTAAATTGTACATGTAGAGACTGTTGAATTGGTATAATTTTGTTGTATTTAGTCTGAAAAACAACAAAATTTTTAAAAATACCCATACACACACCAGAGTTACTATTAAGATTTTGTATTTTTCCAAATAATAAGGTAATTATAATTAAAGTTTATATAGCAACTTTTTAAAAAGGATAACGGTTTTACTAATTACTGTGGATCAAGTATTCAAAACTAAACTTTAATAAGCAGTATAACACAGAACTCTGGAAGCCAAGTGGTAAGGAAGTGTACTATCAACCTGAAGGCAAGCAGATGGCATCTACTAGATGTGCCATAAGATGGGGAGTCTACTTTTGTGCAATATACAGCCTCTGAAAAAGTCCTTGTAGGGTCAGCTAAGAGTTCTGAGTGGTTAACAAGTAGCAACAAAATATAGAGTTAAAAAGAATATTAGTTTAGGAATAAAAAATATTTTAATTTGAATCTTTACTCAAATGTTAACTCAGGATTGTACTAAAGTCCCTAAAATTTAACAATTATAAATCTTTCAACTGAGTTCTTTTAACAAAATACAGGTACACTATTATACACTATTATCCTGTTAATTCATTAGTTTAGTCAAAACTATAACATACAATTTTGACAACATAACAATATATTTAAAATAACTGCAAATTCCCAAGAAACTAGCTAGTTTAACTTATCTAAAGATTGCTTACATTATTTTTTCAATTCTAATTCTCAAAATTTGTCCAGGGACCCTTTTCAGCAAACATTCAAAAAGCACCTACCCTGTGAGGGCACATGTGATACCAAGCAGTACACAGAACCATTCTTTAAGGAGTTTCTAGTCTCTGAAAGAACTGGCAGATAAATACATAAATCTAAATAGAAAGTCTTTGTTGTTTGGTGCCATCAAGTTGAGTACAACTTATAATCAAAACATATATAATTAAAGAGGTCAAAGCACTAGAAGCAGAATATAACTGTCATTTGAAAGCCAGTAGACAGTCAAATAATATTGTCATACACATTACGAGGCAGCAGGAGAGAATGATTAATTTTTTAGGATAATTTATAAGAAAATAGTAACACCCTAACCAAGTCTTTCATCATTGGAACAGGCCATTAAAATAGGACAGTTCTACCTTGCCTAGAACACCTACCTGAAGCATTTAGGCTTGTCCCTCTGCTGGCTGTTTTACTGCACATTAGCCTATAATTTAGAGTATTCACCCTGAATGCAAAACAAGTTCTCATCTATTGTATTAATCATGAGAGTGGCAGCTGCCTACAGTGCTATGTTGAGAATGATGCTGAGACTTAGCAGGACTGCTGTGAACAATTAGTAATGTCTGCCATGAGTGAAGAAAGGCAGGAGTGGAGGATGAATACTGCATATGTGACATTTTTTAGTATCCTGTTTATCCTATTCGTATAGAAGTCTCTAGAAAAGTTTAATCTAATTTAATATGAAAGTTAACAAATACCCAACCAATTAAACATTTATTGTTATTACGTGCTATCGATTGGGAGTGGACTCATAGCTGACCCTCCAAAGGGTTTTCAGAAATGATAAATCACACAGAAGGAGACTGCCCATCTTTCTGCTTCTGAGCAGCTGGTGAATTTTAAACCACCTGTCTTTGAGTTAGAAGCCCAACTCCTGGTAACACTGTTTGGGGATATATTTAGTCCAGAAGCCATTATTTTTTGAAGACTGTTGCCTGACTCTTTAGTTGACTGTACTATAACATGGAATAATAAAGTTTCTCTCTCTAGGGAACTTAGAATCCACAAATAACCAGTTAAGATTTTTTATAGCTATAGATCTAATATGCAACCTAAGTAAGTTGGGATGTATATTTCTTATTTGCACCCAAAGGAACAATGGTGGTCACATGCTACCATTCAGTTTTTCAACAAAGACTACTCAGTCTGCAGAGATGAATGAAAAAAAATCTCTAAAGCAAGTGAAACTAAAGAAATAAAGACAATATTTTCTACAATCTTCCTGACTTTTCTTAGATTCACCTATACCTCTCTACACTTAGCTTCTTAGAATTCTTTTTTTCTTAAGCCTGCTTGAGTTGGTATGTGTTATGGAAGACCCTCGACCAGGTGGATTGATGTGGTATTATAAACATATACAATAAACATCCAGGAACTTGACCTTTGTTTCTTCTATCCTCACTGCATCCAGCAGATAATGAAGAAGCTCCTGACTGTCCTGCTGCTGGAAATCTTTAAATCGAGGAGCCCTGTGATTTAAAAGCACAACAGGAAGCAAAAATCATTACACAGCACAACAGAAATACATTACTACTAAAGAATTCTGAAGTAACATATTTTAAAAATTCATTTACAACTTTCCTACTTAGAAAAACAAAATGTGATTACTATTCTAAATAAGATGAAATCATAAATACAAACTGAGGACAGTACAGTTAACGTTTATTAAACAACTACTACACCCCAAGCATAACACCAGAAATTTTACACATGCAGAGCTCCATAATCCTCAAGCTGTCATGTTGTTGTTGTTGATGGCCATTGAGTCAAGCATGACTCACAGTGACCCTATGAACAAAAGACCTGAAGCCTTTCTGTTAACTATTGTTGTTTCTCAAAGCTCATAGAGTTTCCAGACACATGTTGTTTAGGAAGTGGATGCCACTCCTGCTTTCAAGCAATGATGGCACCTACTCTTCTTTCTGCCTTACACATGAGGACATGAACGGAGAATTTATATAATTTATGCAGTCACAGATTTCTAAACAAAACAAACTAGCCAGTATTCAAGCCTAAGCTACTATGCTCTATCACTTTTAACCATAAAAGAAGCAAATAACACTATAAATGAATATTTCTGTGAATGTAATTAAAATGTGACAGAAATTTGAGGTATTAATTAATCAAAACAATGATGTGTTTAGTCATGGAGAAAATAAGAGCCAATATTTAGTGGATTTCAATAATTTTTTAAAAGTTACATTTTCTGCTATAAAATCCAATCCTATAAAGAAAATTTGTAACCTTAAATTAAAAGTAAATAAATATCTCATAACATGTATAAAAATAATTTCTAAAAAAATAATATGTAAAAGTGAAAAACAAAATGAAAAGCTTTTAGAAGCTTATCCACTGATGATGGGAATGCAAAATGGTATGCCCACTGTCGGAAACAAGTCTGACAATTCCTCAAAAAAGTACAAACAACTACATGTAATTCAGTAACCTCAACTCTCATGTATTTTGTCAGAAGACATGAAAGTAAATATGTACACCAGTGCTCACTGCAGCACTTCTCACACTAGCCAGAAGGTAGAAACAACCAAAATGTCTATTAATAGATGAACAGAAAACCAAACTGTGGTATATACATTGAATGCATATACTTTATATATAAAACAATATATATATATACACATACACAACATATATGTACATATACATTATGTATAGTAAAGTGTGTGTGTGTGTGTGTGTATATATATATACATACACACACCACACATACATGCCAGGCTGGGAAGATGAGCGAAACTGCCAGACTCTGCTAAGGTGTGTTTTCTGGATTCTGGTTGAGACTAGAGTGTGGCTTTTGTTCACAACAGGGCGTGAGCTGACTGAATTTGGCCTCCTATTTAAAAAGGCTTTTTGTTCAAACAAATATATAAAAAACAATTTTGAACAATATTGAATTTGTAAAATCCCATTGAGTTGAACCTCTTATGTAATATAAGGAAACAAAGGCTCGAATGTAATTGGTTTAATTTCTTTTAAATTTAGAGTTAGTAACCGTATTAATATGATTATATAAATAATTTCCAATCTAAATAAATATACATCTTAATTTTAAAAAAAGGCTTTTTGTGAATCTCTTGAATAAAACAGGCTTGGAAGAAGGAGTGGCATCCACTTCCAAAATAAGCTTGCCTCTGGAAACTCTACGAACTTGGAGAAAAGATGAAAGTTTTGTGTTCAAGACGTTTGTTCATAGGGTTGTTATGTGTTGTCTACAACTCAAAGGCACTTAACAACAACAACCACTACCACATACTCATGGGATTATTACTCAACCACATAAGAAAAATGTCCTGATACATGTCACAACAAGGACTAACTTTGAAATCACATTGAGTCTATTACAGAGAACTACAACATGATATCAAAAGAAACAAGCAAACAGATGGAAACCAAAGAATATTAGTAGATGCATCATGATGGATGGAGAACAGATTGAGGTTGTTAACAATTACAGCTTGCTCAGTTCGAAAATCAACACTCTTGGCACCATCAGTCAGGAAATCAAAAGATAAATTGCAATGGGAAAATCTGATGTCAGGGACTTCTCCAGAGTACTGAAAAGCAATGGTGTCAATCTAGAGACGAAGGTGTGCCTGATCCAGGCCATGGTCTTTGCAATTATTTTCTATGCATCAGAGAGCTGGACAATGACTAAGGATGACAGAAGAAGTGATGCCTTCAAATCATGGTGCTGGAGAAGTCTTGAACATACCACTGTTGTTGTTATGTGCCGTCGAGTCGCTTGCAACTCATAGTGACTATGTACAACAGCCTTAAACTCTGCTCTGTCCTGTGCCAATTGCACTGTCTCCGACACTCCCATCCTGATTTACCCAGTCACTGAATCAATCCACCTCATAGAGCCTTCCCCTCCTGCGCTGTCTCTCCACCCTCCCAAGCATGATGTCCTGCTCCAAGGACCGGTCGGTCTCTCCTTACAACATGTCCAAAGTGTGTTAGATGGAGCCTCAGAATCCTTGCCTCCAA